TTGTTCTATCCATTTTTGAAAGTGGTGTATTAAAGTCACCCACTATTATTGTAGATTCATCTATTTCTTTCTTCAAATCTACTAGAGTTTGTTTTAGATATTTTGGCGCTCTTTCATTGGGAGCATAAATATATAATACTGCATAGTTTTTGAGGAGCAGTTGCTGGGTTTGAACCATTGACCTGTGGTTAACAGTCCAGTATTTATCCTACAGCACCATATCAGGAGTCAACATATATTTACAAAAGGAGCCCTGGTAGTGTAGTGGATTATGGACTGGGATGCTAACCCCAAAGTTATTAACTCAAATCTGCCAGTTGCACTGAAGGATAACAATGAGTCTTTCTGCTCTTGAAAAGATTTACTGCCTCGAAAGCCCTATTCAGGGTCACTATGAGTCGGTGGCACACAACCACGATATACCTATATATGGTGGTGGTCATATACCGTGGAGTTAGTTCCAACTCATAGTGACCCTGTATAGGGTTTCTGAGGCAGTAAGTCTTAATAGAAGCAGAAAGCTTCATCTCCCTTCCTCAGAACTGACAGTAGTTTCAAACTGCAGACTATGAGATTAGCAGCCAGACTCCTTGTAAGCACTATAGTACCAGAGCACTCTCTCTCTCTCTCTCTGTATGTATATATATATATAGAAATCCTCACAACTCTCTCTGTATGTATATGTATACATATATGTATATATATGTATACATATACATACAGAATTGTTAGCCATCTAGACAGTTCCTATATACATACACATATACATACAGAGAGAGTTGTTAGCCATCTAGACAGCTCCCACTTTATTGTGACCTCATTCACAACAGAACAAAATATTCCCCAGACCTACACCACCCTCACAATAAGTTTTGAGTTGGACCACTGTGAAAAGTTTTCACTGGCAATTTTTAGAAATAGATCACCATGCCTTTCTTCCTGGTCTATCTTACTCTGAAACCTGCTCATAATCATATCAATACAAGCCACAACTACTAAAAGATAGGTGATGTCTGTGTTTAAGGTATATTAGCTGGGAATCAAACCTGAGTCTCCCACATTGTTGTTGCTATTAATTGCCATCAAATTAGTTCCCACTCATAGCAACCCTATATAGAGTTTCTGAGGTTGTAAATCTTTTGGGGAGCAGAAAGCTTCATTTTTCTCCTGTGGTGCAGCTGGTGGATTCGAGCCACCAACTTTGTGGTTAGCGGTCTAGTGATTATCCTACAAACTCACAATACTCCCTCATGGAAGGTGAGGATTCTACTAATGCTCCTTATCTATATCTATATCTACATCTATATCTATATCTATATCTATATCTATATCTATCTATCTATCTATCTATCTATCTATCTATCTATATATATGGATAGCAAGGACTACATGTATTGGAAGAAGTATAGCCAGAATGTTCCTTAAAAGTCAAGATGGCAAGATTTCATCTTTCACACTTCAGGCATCTTTTCAGGAAGTATCAGTGCCTGGAGAAGGATATCATGGTTGGTGAAGTGGAGAATCAGCAAAAAAGAGGAAGAACCCCAATGAGATGAATTGGGCCAGTTGGCAGCAACATGGGCTCAAGGGTAACAATTATTAAGGATGGTGCAGGACTGGCAGTATTACATTCTGTTGTACATAGGGTTACTATGAGTTTAACCGATTTGACTGCTCCTAACAACAGGACTAAAGGATCTCTGGTAGCGTAGTGGTTACGAATCGGGCTGTGAGCCGCAAGGTCAGCAGTTCGAAACTACCAGCGGTTCCGCGGGAGAAAGATGAGGCGGTCTGCTCCCATAAAGATTTACGGCCTCAGAAACCCTGTGTAGGGTCACTATGAGTCGGAACCGACTCCATGGCACATCACAACAACAACAACAACAACAGGACTACATCCTAAGAATTCTTGTAATATACCATACTGCTCCCGATGTACTCTGAAATCAAATTTTTCAGGTGAGCTTTGGGCCAGACCTAAAGTTTAATGAAATGAATAGAGAAGTTACTTTGCAAATTTGTTTTGTTTTATTTTCATATGCTGATTCCTGTTTTGGTGTTGTGGAAAGATCACGAGCTTTGATATGAGACATATCTAGCTTTGGGTCTAAGTTCCACTACTTACCAACTTTGTGACTTTATGTATATTTCTTAAGGTCTTCGGGTGTAAGTTTTCATATTTTAAAATGTGGTGATAATAGTAAACATCTCACAGAGTAGTGTCCATGGAGCAGAGCTTTTTGGGGTCCAAAAACATTACTCTATGGGAGTATTGTCAGTATAGACAAGCCCTAGAAAGCAATAAACACTAAAGATGGAACAACTGTCTCCCTTACTATAATACCAGAACTGGATGGTGCCCAACTACCATTACTTGAAATTTTGATCAAAGATGCTATAGAAGAATCCTGATCAAAAGGGGTTAAATTCAGAATATAATTTCAAATTCTCATGGACTCCATGTGTTCTGGAGTCATGGAGGCTGGATGGAATCCTGAAAATATTATCTTGAGATAGTCTTTAAAATTTAAACCAAAAAAATCCTCTGAATTTTTTAAAAAATGAAACAATAGTTCAACTTAACTAGTAAAATAATATTTGCCTTAAGCATTATTCCCTTTCAAAAGCTTCTTATATAGAATCAGTTTTATAAGTCAACTATAAAAATGTCAGTAAATTTATGTTAATGGGAGAGGAAAAACTCGGAAAATGAGGGTGAGAACAGTTGCACAACTTAAAAAATGTAATCAATGTCAATTAACTATATATGTAGAAACAGTTAGATTGGTGCATATTTTGATGTATATATTCTCAACAACAACAAAAGTTAAAAATTTAAAATAAGACATGAAAATGAAGTTGCGATTGGAGAGAGAGAAAAAAAAACTGTTAAGGAAAGAGCTGAAAGGTTTAGGTTGAGGCTGTTCCCAGGTAATCTAACCAGGATTAGTGACTATTAGACCAAAGAAGTGTTGTTGTTGTTGCTAGGTGTTGTTGAGTAGGCTCCAACTCATAGTGACCCTTTGCACAACAGAATAAAACACTGCCCAGTCCCATGCCATCCTCACAATTGTTGCTATGCTTGAGCCCATTGCTGCTGCCACTGTGCCAGTCCATCCATTGTGGGGTCTTCTTCTTTTTTGCTGACCCTCCACTTCACCAAGCATGATGTCCTTCTCCAGGGACTGATCCTTCTTGATAATGTGTCTGATGTATGAGAGAAAAAGTCTCGTCATCCTGGCTTCTAAGGAACATTCTGGCTGTACTTCTTCCAATACAGATTTTTTGTTCTTCTGGCAGTGCATGGTAATTTTAATAGTCTTCTCCAACACCATTAACTCAAATGCATCAATTCAGACCAAGAAATAGGAAAATTAAAAGCAAGTTGTTTTAAAAAGAGGGGAGTAGTTGATCTTGCAGTCCAGGAGTGGAGGACCCTGGGACCATAAACGGAGAAGAGTGGGAGTGGAGTGTGGGACCCTATTCAGAGAAGCGGCTACCAGAGATGGAGGCACAAATGATGACATGGAGATATGGAGTGGCTGGGGACTCTAGACTCATGGAGAGAGAGGGGCTATGTGCTGGTGGCTGGGGGGCAGGCTTGCAGGGTATGCCCTTTGGTTGTTTGAATGATTACATACTCCTGAGTGTTTTGGTGTACATCTAAAAACAAATAAACAAACAACAACAACAACAAAAGAAAACAGAGGGAATAGAAGCAAATACTATTTAATGACAATGCATGGAGGGGATTGTAATCATTGCAATGAAATGAAATATGATAGGATGAGTGTAAAGCTGATGTTTTCCCATGAAAACTACCACTCAATCCACAATAAAAACTTTAAAAAAAAATTGTTTTAAACTAAGGAGTGATCTTTCACAAAGTGTGGAAATACCTTGGTTTGAGTCATTTCACATTGAACTGAAGTAAAATAAAGTAGAATCAAATAGAGGAGAAACCCTGCCGTGATCATGAAACCAAAGAGATGAGCTAATAAGGGTTTACATCTGTCTTTTTTCTGAGACTGGGATGGAAAAATCTCTCAATGCACATCTGCCTGGAGTCAGAGCCAGCTGGAGATGATAAGGAACAAATGAAACCACAGATAGGGAGGAGACAGAAGAAAGAAGGAATGTAGGACAGGGATAACTAGAGAGAAATAGGAAAGATAAGATATGGACTAAAGGACAAAGAAAATGAAGAACGAGAGAACTAAAAGATTATTAAAGTAGAGACAGGAAGAAAAAGGAGAGGAGTAACCAAGACAGGCTTTAACCAAGGAAGGGTACTGTGGTGCAGTAATGCTGATATCCATTGTTTATTGATGATGCCTGCTCTCAAAACATAGGCACTATGACCTGGGATTGGCTTCAGAAAACAGTTAATTCCTAGCAGCTTATAAACAAGCCCAAATGCAGAGATGATTAGACATAGACATCTTAGGTTTTTCCACAGTCAAATAAATATTTTTTTCTTCTCTTCTTCAAAAGGTAAACAATACTTGTTTCCTAGAAACAGCTGGGAGTATTAGGAAGAATATCAGTGGTTCTTGCCAGCCCCAGAGTTCATTTTAGGTAGCCGATTCTCTTTCCCATCATACTGGTCCTTGAGCCAGCGATTTACATAGATAAAGTGCCCCACCTGTTTTATTTGCACCAAAGAAAACAGATTTTTATGCTACTTCAGAGCCTACAGATTTGGGGAAATTAACTCAATCGAGGGGGCACTACTTACACACTCTTGTATGAAAGAAAAACACATTTCTAAGATTTTCCTTTTAAAAAGAACCAGGAACATCTGACTAAGACACTATATGTATCATCTTGGCTTTTATATATTCTATTTCTGGTTCTGTTGTATGCAAATCAATCCCCCAATGTCTTACATAGCTCTTGCCATACTACTCTGCACACACACACTCCCAACTACGTACATCCTTCAATCATCTGTCAACATCTTCTCTTCACGTGGCTATAAAGGGAAAAGATTATTCTAGAAGTAATTAAAAAGATTATTCTAGCAGGTTAAACAATTACTCAGAGTCCTTAGAAAGAAGCTCTTAGCAATGAATTGTCCTCCTCTTTCTGTTTATTGCCTTGGCAATCACCCAAGTTAACAAGTGTCTACACTCTAGCCAGTGATAACCATAAAATAATGGTAATCACTTTTTTTTAGCATGGAAACCTTTCCTTGAGTTTGTACAATAGTGGTCTCATACAATATTTTGTGATTGATTTTGTCCTTTTGTGATTTACTAATTTCACTCAAGATAATGTCCTCCACCCTGGAGGACATCAAGCTGGTAAATGAAAAGAAGCAGGCCTCCAACAATATGGATTGTGACAGTGGCAGCAGCAATTGGCTCAAGTGTAACAACAGTTGTGAGGATGGGGCAGGACCTGGCTCTATTGTGCATAGTGTGACTGAGTCAGAATAGACTCAACAGAACCTAACAACAATGGAACATCATTTACTCTGATTAATACATAACAAGGCCTTCTAAAGTAATAACATAAACAAAAACATAATTTTGCTGCCTTATGGTATTAAGAATATATATGTATTTTATCATTATAATTTTCGAAGCTGTATAATGAGTTCAGAATATTATAAATATTATACATATTACAGTTATATTAAAATGCCACATTCATGGCTGATGACATTGAACATGCACATGAAACATTTCAGTGAATCAATGAGTGACAGTGATTATGTGGTAAATCATTTGCCAATGAGCCATGGCTCTGCCTATGAAATAATCCATGACAGACTGAGGTTTTGAAAAGTTTGTATGAGATGGGTACTGAAACAACTCATGGAAGAGTATGAACAGAAGTGTTTTGACATCTGTAAACCAAATTTGGACTGATATGTGAAGGAAGGTAAAAGTTTCTTTAAAAATTTTTACTGGTGAGAGAGCGGGACATCCAGTTTCTGAGCAGTTATCTTTGTGTCTCGTCTAATGAGAGTGGTGAGCTCTGGGCCCTGGAAGCCTCAGAAGAAATCAAAATAAGTAATGTTGAGAAGGGCAAGACAATTTTTGTTCCAAAGTGTGCCCAATGCCACACTGTGGAAAGGGGAGGCAAGTACAAGACTGGGCCAAATCTGCATGGTTTGTTTGACTGGAAGACTGGTCAGGTCTTTGAATTCTCTTACATGGATGCCAATAAGAGCAAAGGCATCAGGGGGCTGTGGGCGTAGGTGCAGACACGACCAAGTCCAAGAACCACACCACTCACAACCAGTCCCGAAAATGGCACAGAAATGGTATTAAGAAACCCCGATCACAAGTCTCTTAAGGGGGAGGACACCAAGTTTCTGAGGAACATGTGCTTTGCCAAGAAGACAACAAAAAGGGCCTGAAGAAGATTCAGGCCAACAACACCAAGGCCATGGATGCATGTGCCAAGGCTATCAAGGCTCTTGTAAAGCCCAAGGAGGTCAACCCTAAGATCCCAAGGGGTGTCAACCGTAAGCTCAGTCAACTGGCCTACATTGACCATCCCAAGCAGGGGAAGCATGCTTGGGCACGCATTGCCAAGGATCTGAGCCTTTGTCGGCCAAAGCCTTTGAAGCAGGGGGGAAAACAAGAGCAAAGGCATCACCTGGGGAGAGGACACACTGATGGAGTATTTAGAGAATCACAAGAAGTACATCCCTGTAACAAAAATTATCTTCACTGGCATTAAGAAGAAGGCAGGAAAGTCAGACTTGATAGCTTATCTCAACAAATCTACTAATGAGTTGGTCATTGCAATATTTATTATGAAATAGAAATGTCTTGTGATTTTTTTTTTTTTAACATGGACCATATTTAAATTGATCTCATACACCAGAATTCAGATCATGAATGGCTAATAGTTTTTCTTTTTGGACAGTCCTAAATTAAATAAAACATTAACTGTGATTAAATGACAATGAACAGACTTTAAAAATTTGATAGACATTTCAGTTCAGCAAATGTTGTCGCTGCTTTTCCCTATGATATGATTAGACTTGAGACTAGGTTAGGTTAGTAATGTTCAGTTTTTCACAAAGATGGTGAATATATATGAGATTGATTTTATATTGATATTTGTATAACTAATTATATTAATATCTTTAAATACTGGAGAAATCTTTTCACTGCCTCACCCTGTTTCAATATGTATTCATCACCCTGTTCAAATGCAAGGGTAGGAGGGAAATAAGGTAATAATGGCCACTTTATCACTTCTTTTTTTTTTTTAGTTTTTATTGTAAATTGAGTGAAAGTTCACAGGGCAGACTATCAGTTTTACATTTAATAAATCATATAATTTGTTTCATTACAATGATTATAATCTCCTCCATGTAACATCAGTTAACAGTATTTCTCTATATTCATTTTAGCTCTTTTTCCTTTTAAACACTCAGGCATATATAATAATAATTTACACCACCAAAGGGCATATTCTGCAAGTCTGCCTCCAGGCCGCCAGCTCTCAGTTCCTCTCTTTCCAAGAATCTAGAGTCCTCAGCTACTCCCTCTCTCCATGTCTCCATCACTGCTTCTCTGGATAAGGCCCCGCATCCCCTTTGTGCTCTTCTCCCTTGATGGTCCTAGGGTCCTCGGTTTTGGGATGTAAGATTAATTACTCCTCAGTTTTTATTACAAAACTTCTACCTTTACAATTGTGACCGTTGCAATTAGTAATGATAACAATTACTCACTATTGAATCATAAGACTCTTATCCCCATCTCTTTTTACCAGATCCTCCTACACAAGATGAAAACTATTCAGTGGGGACTCATTTTAAGTAGCCATTGTCTAAGTTGCCCATCCCTATCTACCATGTATACAGAGGGGATAGCACTGATATTTGATGTGAAGACTCCTTTCCTCTCTGTTGGTATTTTGAGCTGCTACCTCAATAAAGATAGTCAAGCTCATCAAATTGTAGCAATTTACCCTCATTTCCTTTATCAAAAATTGTTTTCTTTTTTATCTTCCTCTAGTCAAGTTCTGATTATAAAACCATTGAGGCTAGGTCAAATGCATACTATCTGAAAGTTTGGGTGTTCTTGTGCATTTCTCCTCACTTCATATCAGTTGGATGCTTCACTCTCAGCTCTAGCCCTCTGTGGCTATGTCCTTGTCTATAGGCTCAGATGTCCCCAGGTTTCTCCACACTTTAGACCAAACAGCCTGTCCTCTTCTCTCTCTCATGTCCAGGTCAACGGGAGTCTATGGAACATAGTTGAACTCAGCTCATTTCTACATTGCTGCCTTTCCCGTTTTCCTACTCACCGGTAGACCAAGCTTGCATGCCTGCTCATGTGTTCCCTTTGAGTTTCAGTCTTAGAGGGGGGATTTGTCCTGAAGGGACTTGATTGCTTGCCTTGGTGGCTTCCCGGTAAGCAACTTGCTTATTCTTTTAGTAGCCAATCATACTGCCATTTTTGTTTTGGGTTTTTCCTGATGATCTTTCTTGAAGATGTACCGTCTGTCACTCTAGTTGTCCCAGTCTGGTCTGTTTGTCCTTTCTAATGGGAATGTCCCACTTCAGAAGGTTCTGGATGGGACTCAGAATTCCACTTAAGGTCCTATACACTGCAAAGGCTCCGCAAGAGGCCTATTTCACAGGGCAAATTGTAGAACACCTTTTAGGTATTCCAATCAGTTATACACTGAAGATGGGCTTCTAAGCTTTCTGTAATCATATTTCCCAACAATCCTTTCCATCTCACTCAACTGTCTATCTTACAATAGTAGGCAAGGGAAACCAATATTCATAAGACAGTCAGGCATCTTAGAATTATTTCCCCTCTTCGGACTATGCCTTGATACCTGTATCACAGAGCCCTGTTGTTCCAAGTTTGAGCATGCATCACTATTCACTTCTGACCCATTTAGCCCATGCAAACCTGTCTCAGTGCTCCCCTATCTACCTTTTTCTTCCTTCCCCTCCCCCTCCTTGTGAATTGCACACCCCAATACACGAACAATAATGTGTCTGCTCCCTACCCTGTACTCTATTGTCGCCTCCTTCCACCTCCCCCAAACGCCTGCACTGGTAATCAACAAAGAATTTTTCCCCCTTTTAGTATGGGTATCTTTTCTTAAGCTTTTATAATAATGGTCTTACGCAAAATTTGTCCTTTGTGACTAATGTCATTCAGTATAGTGTCCTTAAATTTCATCCATATTATGTGGTGGCTTACAGCTTCCTTGTTCTTCTTCAAGGTAGCATAATATTCCATTGTGTGTATGTACCAAAGTTTGTTGACCCATTCGTCCATTGATGGACACTTGGACTGTCTCCATCTTTTTGCTCTTGTGAATGGTGCTGCTATGAACATTGGTGTGCATATATCTACTCGTGTTACAACTCATATATCTTGTGGATATATACCAAGTAGAGGAATTGCTGAATCATATAGTATTTCTATTTCCAACTTTCTGAGGAAGTGCCATGCTGTTTTCCAGAGTGGTTGGACCATTTTGCATTCCCACCAGCAATGTAGGAGGGTCAGAGTCTCTCCACATCCTCGCTAACATTTACTGCCCTCTGCAGTTTTTAACTTCACTGTTATTGCTGGTATGAGATGACATCTCATTGTTGCTTTAATTTGCATCTCTCTAATGGCTAATGATGAAGTCCTGGTGTGGCGCTGTGGGTTAATGTGCCAGACTGCAAAGCCGTTTGAACTGCAAGGTCGGCGGTTCAAGCTCACCAGCTGCTCCTCGGAAACTCTATGAAGAGTTGCTATGGGTCAGAACTGAATCGACGGCACATCACAACAACAAAAACATCTGCATATGTGTACCTATGCTTTATTGACTATGCAAAGGCTTTTGATTGTGTGGATCATGACAAGCTACGGACAACATTGAGAAGTATGAGTATTCCAGAACACTTAATTGTATTCATGAGGAATCTGTACCTGGACCAAGAAGCAGGTGTTCAAACAGACCATGGGAACACTGAATGTTTTAAAATTTAGAAAGGTGTGCGACAATGTTGTGTTCTTTCACCATACTTATTCAACCTGTATGCTGAGCAAATAATACGAGAAGCTGGGTTCTATGAAGAAAAACGTGGCATCAGGATTGGAGGAAGACTCATTAACAACCTGTGATATGCACATGATACAACCTTGCTTGCTGAAAGTGAAGAGGACTTGTAACATTTACTGATGAAGATCAAAGAGCACAGCCTTCGGTATGGATTGCATCTCAATGTCAAGAAAACAAAAATCCTCACCACTGGACCAATAAACAACATTCTTATCAACAGAAAAAAGATTGAAGTTGTCAAGGACTTCTTTCTTCTTGGATCAACTATCAACACTCGCGGAAGCAGCAGTCAAGAGATCAGACGACGTATTGCATTAGGCAAATCTGCTGCACAGGAACTTTTTAAAGTGTTGAAGAGCAAAGATGTCAGCTTGAGGACTAAGGTGCGCCTGACCCAAGCCATGGTATTTTCAGTAACCTCGTATGGATGCGAAAGCTAGACAGTGAATAAGGAAGATCATAGAAGATTTGATGCCTTTGAATTGTGTTGTTGGAAGAGAATACTAAAAGTGCCATGGTCTGCCAAAAGAACCAATCGATCTGTTTTGGAAGAAGTGTAGCCAGAGTGCTCCTTAGAGGCCAAAATGGCTAAACTTCGTCTCTCATACTTTGGACATACTGGAGAAGGATAGCATGGTTGGTAAGATGGAGTGTCGGGGAAAAAGAGGAAGACCCTCAAATGAGATGGATTGGCCAGGTGGCAGCATTGATGGACTCAAGTGTGGCAGCGGTAGTGAGGTTGGCCCAGTATCAGACAGTATTTCGTTCTGCTGTGCATGGGGTCGCTATGAGTTGGTTCGGACTCTATGGCACCTGACAACAACAACATGCTGTCATTATGTTAGTTTTTGTGTGGTGCTGCTGCTTTCTTTGTTTTGTATTTCTTCCTTGCTGAGTTCATGTTTTTTTGTTCTTTCTTCTCAGTTTCTTCACAGTTTTACTACTTCCATGTTCTTCTTGGATTTTCATTTCCTTGGCATGTTCTGAAGTATTAATTTTATTTGAGGTTAATTTATACTCCATTACCTTTTCCCTCCATTTAAGACAGTTTATTTAATCCTGTGATGTACCTGACCTTCTCACCACCTGGATCTGTTCCTATGTCCTTACCTTCTTTTAAATTGTAATTGTTTTGATCATAGACTGACCATACAGATCCTACAAACTTATCCTCACATTTTTGTTCTGTTCTCAACTCTTCCATTTGTCTATTGAGTTCTGCGTGGTACTGTCAGTCTCTAGTTGTTGTCTGCTCTTGTTTTTTGTAAGTCCACAGAACTCCTTTTAGGATGTTTTGCAGCACAGCATTGGCTTTGACAAAGTCTCTCAGCTTCTGTTTATCCTGGAATGTTTTGATTCCACGGTGGTATTTGATTGCCAGCTTTGCTGGAAGTTTTTTTCTTTCAGGATTTTATATATGTCTCCCCATATCCTTCTTGGCTGCATGGTTTCCATTGAGAGATCTAAGCTTAATCTGATTTACTTTCCTTTGTATGTAACACTTCTCTTTTCCTTAGCTGCTTTCAGGATTCTCTCCTTATCTTTGTTTTTGGAGAGCTTGAATATTATATGTCTTGGTGATTTTCTTTTTGGGTCTATCCTACCTGTGGTTCATTGAGCTTCTTGAATGCCTACCTTTTCACTTTTCAGTATGTTAGGGAAATCTTCTTCCAGCAGCTCTTCAACTATCTCCTCTATGGACTTGTGTGATTGCTTCTATTCTGGAATGCCAAT